TGTATGAAAAAATGTCCATTTTGGTCTAAAAAAAATCGGAAAAGTACTAGTCGATGGGAAATTTTCCAAAAAATCCAATGCCGTTGGAATTTTTGAGACTACTTTTTTAAAAAAAATTTATAACTCAAAAACACCTTTTTCGATTTGGCTCAAATTTTCAGGAAAAATAGTTGAAAAGCCATACTTTAAAATGATTATTTCGGAAATCTGGGTATTTTGAGTTTTTAGCCATATTTTTGCAAAATAGTGAGATAATTCGATTTTTTTCAATGTTTCCTTACGGTTTTGCCTTTTTGTGCTTATACGCAGCTATATAGAAAAAATCTGAGCCCAAATTTACAATCCTTGGAAAATTTCCAATCAATTATATATAATGAATCTTACTTTTATTTATTTTAGACAAATTTTAACAGCAAAAACAAATCAATTATTAAAAATGTGCGCATGACGATTGATTTTTGTGACACGAGTGGAGGTCGAGGGCGCCGTAGGCGCCCCGAGACCGGAACAACCCAGGCGCGAAGTGACGCCGAGTTCAGGCTTTATAAAGATTGGCCGAGCATTGGTCAACATTGATTGAGCATGAGTGAATCAGCGAGAGCAGGAATGATCGAAGCTTTAATGTAACACCGATTCCAGACTGCAGCGCGAGCCTTGATTCAGCATTGGACATCAATGCTAAATCAATGCTGCGGACGCCTAACGCAGGACTGAAACAAGACTGCTTCCACTGTTCCCAAATTTACTCGTTTCTCACGTTTATTCAATATAATGTGAATATATGAATTATTAATAATAATAATAAATATTATTGTTATTATTTTAATTCATGTGCGTATATATACATATATATTTAATGACAATAAGTTATTATTTGTAATAATTATATTATTTTTATATAAATAAGAATATATGTATATTACTAACAATAAATATCATTTGAATAGTAATTTTAAAAAAATAATTTTAGTAAAAAAAGACAATTTTTCTGTTAATCGTTACATTTTTTTCTTGATTTTTAACAGACTTTTAACATTATTTATAAACATGTTCACATTTTTTATTCACAACACAACACACAATTTTATTATTTTATATAAACGCTTATAACAAAGAATGAAAAATATTCGCTCGCATGTGGGATCGAAACTCACGCACCCCGCCCCTAACGCATACCGGAAGTTCTCAACGCACGCATTTAAACCGCTCGGCCACAGAAGGCTGGAAGGCTTCTCGCCTAATCTACTATATCAATGCCAGTGCCGTCACTCAGTATGGGACACCAATGTTCGTCCCATGCTCGATTCAAGACTCGGTCAATCTTGTTACAATATTCAATTCCTTTATTGCCGTGTGCACTGTACAATATTAAATATAAATATTTATAAATTATTTAATATTAAAATATTTCTTCTGATAATTTTATAAGTTAAATTATATATTATTTTTTTTCTCGCACAGTGTCAAATTATTATTTTCAAAGTTCAAGAGTTTCGTTTATCTGTAAAATTTTCAGTGAAAAAAATGTTCATTAGGTAGTAGTAAATATTTATGCCTAGTAGTTTTACACTAGGATTAACTGTTTACTGAATATTATCAAAAATATATTTTTCGTCAAACGCGCGCGACTAAACACAAATAACCTTGAGACTTTACAGCGCGACGTTGCGGGGAGTGTATTGAGTAGATAGGATGGTGGGAGCACGACAATCGCAACGTCTCAAGGTTATTTGTGTTTAGTCGCGCGCGTTTGACGAAAAATATATTTTTGATAATATTCAGTAAACAGTTAAACCTAGTGTAAAACTACTATAGGCATAAATATTTATTACTACCTAATGAGCATTTTTTTCACTGAAAATTTTTCAGATAAAGGAAACTCTTGAACTTTGAAATAATAATTTGACTCTGTGCAAGAAAAAAAATAATATATAATAATTTAACTTTATTGATATGAATCTTATGTAATTAATATAAATATTATACACTAAATAAATATTAATATTTATTTACCAATTGATATCTTAATAACAATAATAATAATACTTATTATATTATTTAATAATAATTAATAATAATAATTTTTAAATAGTATAAAAAATTACTAAAAATTATCAGAAATAATATTTTAATATTAAATAATTTATAAGTATTTATATCTAATATTGTTAAGTGTACACGGTAATAAATAAACTATCAAGATTGATTCAAGCTTGAATAAAGACTGGATGTTGAAGCTCCACTCACGAAGATTGACCGAGTGTTAAATCGAGCATGGGACGAACATTGGTGTCCCATGCTGAACCAATATTGAGTGACAATGATATAAAGACTGCTTCAACTCTGGGTTACCCACGCTGGGCGTTCAAGACTCAGTCAAGTTTCAACCCATCGTCAGCACTGGTCTTTCGCGCCTGGGAAGTGTCACAAAAATCATCGTAAAGAAATTGGCAGCATTTATTCTCGTGTTACTTACGATATTTTGTATTTCTTATGCACAAAAGCGGCGATTTCAGATAGCAGACGACAGGGAGTAAAAGTCATTCACTTGTTCGATTTGTATGAAAATGGCGGCCGTTTTCTCCCTTGGGCAAGAAAAATGCATGTGAACAGCTAATTTTCTTGCCCTTGGGAGAACACGGCCGCCATTTTCATACGGTCGAAGAAATGAATGGCTTTCCTCCCTGTCGTCTGCTATCAGAAAGCGCCGTTTTTGTGCATGTGGGATACAAAAATTTTTTAGTGGAAAAACCAAGAAACCCCTGCAACTTGTTCCAATGAAAATAAAAATAAATACGTATTTTTTTATTTTAATAAATATTGATATTAACAAGTGCCACCGAGCACTTCAATTTTCCCATATAAAATGCATGGGAAAAATTTCAATTTTCGAAAAATCATAATCATCTGCGAGGGTTTCAAAAAAGTTAACATTAAGCTATTATGATTTATAGAGGGCTCTCCGCCAAGTATAATTTGACCTATATATAACTTTCAATTTTTTACCACCCCTACCTTCTACATCACTGCCCCAAAGTTACCCCTTTTTGGATATTTATAATTTAATGTGTTTTTGTGGTATAATATCGATTTTTTAACTTTTTTGTCGGATCTTGTGTTTATAAAAAAAATACGTATTTATTTTTATTTTCATTGGAACAAGTTGCAGGGGTCTCTTGCTTTTTCCACTAAAAAATTTTTTGGGCCACCTTAATCGTCATGCGCACATTTTTAATACATACTCTTAATTATAAATTGTATTTGTTTTTGCTGATAAAATTTGTCTAAAATAAATAAAAGTAAGTTTCATTATATATAATTGATTGGAAATTTTCCAAGGATTGTAAATTTGGGCTCAGATTTTTTCTATATAGCTGCGTATAAGCACAAAAAGGCAAAACCGTAAGGAAACATTGAAAAAAATCGAATTATCTCACTATTTTGCAAAAATATGGCTAAAAACTCAAAATACCCAGATTTCCGAAATAATCATTTTAAAGTATGGCTTTTCAACTATTTTTCCTGAAAATTTGAGCCAAATCGAAAAAGGTGTTTTTGAGTTATAAATTTTTTTTAAAAAAGTAGTCTTAAAAATTCCAACGGCATTGGATTTTTTGGAAAATTTCCCATCGACTAGTACTTTTCCGATTTTTTTTAGACCAAAATGGACATTTTTTCATACAAAAATGGATTTTTTAATCTTAGTTTTCAAAAATGTCACTTTTTATGAAATTGAAGATTGTGAGTGATCTTTATGAGATAGACACTTAAAATTTTGGCTAGATCACTATTTTTGAAGGTAGAATACGCCTAAAAACTTTAAAACAAATCGGTAACTTGTCACGTACAACTGTGTGATTTACCCGTGGAATCTCCCTATAGAAAATAATATTTTTATTTGTTTTATTAATTTTTTAAAATTATTTACAATTATTTTTACACTTCTAATCCAAACTGCTTTTCGAAAAATTATACTGAGTTTTCTAGAACCAAATGAAATATTAAAAAAAATAAAATAAACTTAAATTTTTCTATTTTAAAAAAAGTTTAAAAGATCGTGAAAAATTTTGATTTGAATTTTTCTGTAAAAACTAATTTAATTGAACGAACGCTTTTTTTATAAAATTACTTGCTTTAATGTTTAAGAAGTAAATTATAGGTAATCCTCAGAAATTATTCGATGGAAAACTATACTATTTTTGTTACATGTTTTACTTTACACTTGTACTTAACAAAGTATTATTTCTAAGCATTCGTGTGAGTGAAAATTTGTCTTTTTTATTTTTTGTTATGGATTTCTTACCTGTCACCTTAACAGCGGTTGCAATTGTACAAAGTCCTAAGTATAATTATTATCCAAAGTGTATATTTTCTTAGAAAAAAATTGACCTGACTAAACATACGTTTGCCGGCAGATCAAAAGTATGAACTAAAATTACGGTTAAAATACACATATCCTAAATAAATTTAAATTAAATTTATAATAATTTCATATCTTACTAATGAATTATTGCCAAAAAGTTGAAACAATTTCTAATTTTTCTATTAAGTTTTATTGCTTATACTTGTATACTTTCTACTATCTACTGGTTTCTTTATAAAAAAGTAATGTAAAACTTGAAATTTATTCTTCTCTCTTATGAAAATTAAGTTTGAAATATTTTCCTCTTATTCACTTTCTCTCTCGGCATAGTAAATTCCTCAATCTATTTACATTATCATCTTCACGTAATCGCAATTCTTATTATCTGCATGTCCACCGGTGACAGTTTCGTATTGCGAAGAAATTGAAGAGTTAAAGAGTTAAATAACGGATTGTGAAAATATTTTCATTAAAATTTCTTACTTTTGTCGCAGATTTTTGTCCAAGCACTTTAGGCACCTTTAGGCATCTAGTAAAAATTAGTTTTGAGCTTTTTGGCAATTATTGAAATAAACTGTTGGTGAAAATGTAATATTAACGAAATATATTTTAATGAGTACGACTTGTGTGATTGCAGTCGCTGTTAAGTGATCCGAATCCGAATTCACCTGCCAACTCAATGGCAGCACAACTGTACAAAGAAAACCGACGTGAATACGAGAAACGAGTAAAGGCTTGTGTGGAGCAGAGTTTTGTGGATTAGTTGGTGGACGTGCTGACTGCTGTCGGCGCTGTCTCATCAGCAGCATTAAACGACCAACAATCAACTTGAACATCAACATCAACGCCGTCATTTAATATATAGAAGAACGTGCAGCCTTATCAAGGAGCTACGCTGATCGCTTCGAATGCGTCATAATTCCTTATAAAAAAATGAAAAATAATGAAAAATAATTAATAGTAATACAAAAATAATGGAGGAAAAACAACTCTTTCTCAACATTTACAGCGTGTGCAACATTAGATCGAATTTTTACAATGTTGTATAATAAATTAATATAAACTGTGTATTTATTTATTGGAGGATTCGATAAAAAAAGAAATGGAAATGAACGAAGAAAATGATGAAATTAGTAATGTTGTTTAATAATTGCATTAGGGTATGGAGTAATAAAATAATTAAACTACCTTATCTATCACAATTTTGTCTCTGTGTTCGCTATGCGGCGTTTTCATCCATCGAAAGCACAGATCCACAAACTTGAGTTCAATAATATTGTAACACTTCGTACATAGTCTTGACATTTAACTATACATATATAAATATACATAATATACATACATACATTCAATAAAATGCATAATTATAATCTCTATTCTTGTTTTCTTTAGCTCTTACAATTAGACATTTTCCGATTGAATCGACTTTTCCCTTATTTCGATAACAACTTCAATTCAAAGTTTTTGTGAAATTCAATTATTTTCAAAACAGGTCAAAAATAGAAAAATAAAATAAAATAAAAAATAAAATAAAAAAAATAAATAAAATAAAATAAAATAAAAATTAAAATAAAATAAAATAAAATTCCCAGACCTGTGTCTGGGAATTTTATCAAAAGTACTGGGAAAATATCAATTTCTTTTAGAGTCAAGGAAACAGTCAAAGTTCTGTCTGGAAAGCAGGGAAAAATAAAATCAATTTTTTGTGACAGCCTATAAAAAACTGTAATAAAACTTTTTAAAACATAAAATTTATTTCTCCAGTTTGAAACCGCCATTTCTATAATTGATTAAAAATGTTTTATTTTAACTAGATAGAATTTTAGCTTTCTCTCTGTTAAAAATTATAAGTTTACTAAAATTACTCAAAAATTTTAATTTGAAACCTTTTGAAATTTAATTATTTCTAAAAATTACAACTATAACCCTTCCAAAATTCCAAAATTAAAATTTTTATATTTTATTATAAAAATTGCGAATTGTAACTCTTAATTGTTTTCAAAAAGTTTTTGATTTGAAAAAGAAAATTCAATGGTAATTTAAGGTTTTTTCAGTATTTTTAAAAGATAAAAAAATTCTAATTTTTTTATCATTTTTACATTTGATATTTTTTACATGATCTGTGACCACTCTGTTATTGTCAAAATTCATAAAAATCTAAAAAAAAATGTAACTCAAAAATATTTAAATCATTCTCATAAAAAATGAGGAGGTCTTGGATTATTAGTGAAATTTTAAGTTTTCACCCCCTGAATCGACAGCTTTCAAAACATGTTTTTTAAAATTTTGTTAAGAAATGAACAACTTTTCAATACCACAAAAAGTAGAGAATTTATGAATTTAAAAATTGTTTAAAATTGTTTTTAACTATTTTGGCTTTTTATTTAATATACTGGATTAACATACTCGTTTCTTTGTTTCAAATCAATAAGAGAATTTAATGTTTCTATTTAAATAAAAATTTTCTTTGATAACTTTCTAATTCTTTTTTTCTAATGGTAATATTAATAGATATTAATATGAAAATATGTTTCTAGTCATTGTTGGACGAGCCGAATCCCAATTCTCCCGCGAATTCTCTTGCTGCTCAACTTTATCAGGAAAATAAAAGGGAATACGAGAAGAGAGTTACAACAGTTGTTGAGCAATCTTGGCTAAATTTTCAAGACAGTCATATGGAAGATCCTCGCTGAGATTAAGTGTGTTATTTGTATAAAATAATTCTTTATAATTAACATGTATGAGGAAATATCGTCAACGCTGCATTGCATTGTTATTCCTGGACAATTTACAAATAACTTTTAATATTTTTAAAGAAATTATTTACATTAAAAAACTGAAGCCATAATTAGAAAAATAAATTTTCAATTTAAATTAATAGACATGCATTTAATTCTTTAATATTATTGATTTTAAAAAAATTTTCATCAAATTTCACCTCAAAAATTGTCCTATGTTTTAAAAATAATTACAAATATAAGTTCATGTTAAATTAAAAATTTATTTTAAAAATGTCTTTCTTTCAATATATCCAAGTTTGATAAAAGATTAAATAAGTACATAATATTGATATTAACTTTCCATGTAAAAAAAGTAAGTAAAAGTATTTTCAAATTTGCGTCTTTAAAGAGGTACTTTAATTTGTAATACCTTCGACCTTGTAAATTAATTCACTAATTTTTTTATTTTACTTAATATTTTCGTTTTTATAATGTAATAATAATGTAAGGCTACTGAAATTTTGCTGAATAAAATTTAAGGATATTTCAAGCAAAAGTTTATAACGTACAAAAATTTAACACTTATGCATAACAATATTATTCAGAGATGGGAAAAATAAAGTAATAATATTCGTAATTCTTATTATTTTCTGTATATTTTTATATAACACATGTTTACAATTACTTTGATTTTTTCAATTTTTAATTTGAAGTAATTGAAAACATAAGATAAGGATACACTGAGTAAGAAATTATTGCTTAAAGCTAAAAATTTTAATTTTACTCAATTGGCGTCCTTATAATTATTATTTATTAATTTATTAAAGAAGCGATAAGAAATCGTTGATAAATTACACTACCCATAAATATATACATATAAGAGAGAGGTATAAATTACGGTAATAAGAGAAAAAGAAATTTTAGTCTCAGATTGTATTATTGAAAATTTCAAGTTTTCATTAAAAAGTAAAAACAAGTAGATAACAATTTATGAACGATTCCTGATAAAATATTGCGAAAAAGCTTTCATCAACTGTAAGTATAAGATGCAAAGTATGTACAATTATTAGATTACAATAACTGAAACTGGCTATTTAACATAATGAAACCATAAAATTGTACAGTTATCAATTATTATTAAATGATCAATTTCTGATATAGAAAATACTTGTTACAAGACAGAATAAAATTTAAAGTGCAATTAAATTGCATCACTTAAACAAGTCAATAGAAACTGGGAGTAGAAAAAATAAATTTTGCTTTTATTAACAAAAAGAAATGAATAATATTCTCCAATTTTAAAGTCGTGCACGATAGTACGAAGGCTTTTTAGGGGCCATTCAAAAAATACGTCAAACTATTTGTTACGATCAGCAGAAAAAATGGCGATAGTGCGTTAGAAAAGAGGGGGTAAAATTGTCAAGAAAAAACATTAGGAATTTTTAGAATGGCCTCTTAATAGAATATTAAAAATTCTTCTTTTATGACAACAGTAACGAATATTTATTTATTATATCAGTACTGATTGATTAGTTAATCGACTTTATAGTTTTATAAAACGAAATCTGTTGCTACGATTTCTCTTCTTTTTCTTTATTATACCTCTCGAGTTCCTTCAAGAATTGGGCCTTTGGTTTCATGACGTTTGGACGATCACCTCTACACTTGGGACAGAACCATTTCCCTTTTGGCTTCGTTGTCAGAGACACACAAGAGAAATGGAACCATTCTATGGGGCACAAGTCATTGTCGCACAAAATCATTTCACCATAAGAAATTTGATCACAGAGACAGTAAGTCGGTTCGTCTGGATCAATGGCCAAATCGTCTTCTTGTGGCGGTGGAGTATCCTCCCGATGTTGATTTTGTTGGTTTCCTTGGCGAGCCTTTCGTTTCTTCTTTTTACCTGTAACGGAGAAGAATTTATTTTACATTGCAAGCATTGAGAAAATGCTTGCTTTAATAGTAAAATGTACTATTAAAGAGCACTATATCGAATAATTTAAATAATAATAATGCATACAAATATTGTTTATGATTTATTATGTATCTCTTTTCTTGCGATCCCTTTCACACTTTAACTGTTCAGAATATTGTTACAAATTAAAAAATCGATGATTTTATTAATATTTTCATTTTTTAAAATTGTTTTCAAAAATTATTACATACTATTAATCAAACACTTTCAAAAAAATTAAAATTTTTTTTCAAATTTCTTCATATTTTCCTGCATTTTTTTCTGTATTTAAATATTTTAAAAAATTTACTAAATGAAATGGAAAATAATGTAAATTAAACATTTTCACTTAGTTAAGAATCAATTTTTTAAACAAACTACAAATTAAATGAAGTGACAAAAATATTTCTTAAATTCACTTGTTTACAATTCAATTTCAAATAAATTGAATCTGATGCGAAGAATTTTTTTAAAGTTTGAATATGAAATTTTTCAAAATTTGAAGTTAATATTTAAATAAAGTTATATTCGAAAAACAATTTTTGAATAATAATTTTTTGAAAGTTTTTCAAGCTAATTAAATTATTTTAAATAAATGCAATTAAAAATCTCTAAAGTTCAATATTATTGTGAGAAATAGAAAGAATTTAAAATTAAATTAAGGGGGGAACCCCAGTTGTAACGTTAAAAAGAAGTGCCTTTTTCAAGAATTTTTTCCTAATAAACCATAAAAATTTTTAAAAAATACTATTTACTACCTAAAAGTATACATACATAAGGCTTTAATTTAAGAAAAAAAAATTTTTTTATCCAAAACTTTCTGAGATATGAGCCACTGAAGTGACGCCTTCGGAAAAAAACATGAATTACGGTGACCAGCATTCCGCAAGTATAGTTCGTCTGAAATGCAAAAATGAAATTGATTTACATTTATTATAAGATTATCTAGTTCTTGATCGAAGGATTAAAAAAAATATATTTGACAAAATGGCATCCTGTCAAAGTCATGAGCATGATTTTGGTTAAAAAATAAAAGTCGATTTTCAGCTGTAGGAAAAAAGTTTTGCATAAAAAAAGAAAACGTTCGATCGGGAACTAGATAATCTTCTAATACATGTAAATCAATTTCATTTTTGCATTTCTGACGTACTATACTTGAGAAATGCTGGTCACCGTAATTCATGTTTTTTTCCGAAGGCGCCACTTCAATGGCTCATATCTCAGAAAGTTTTGGATAAAAAAATTTTTTCTTCTTAAATTAAAGCCTTATGTATGTACTTTTAGTTAATATTAATTTTAGTTAATTTTATGGTTTATTAGGAAAAAATTCTTGAAAAAGGCACTTCTTTTTAACGTTACAACTGGGGTTGCCCCCTTAAATCTTTTCAATATATTTTTAAAGGCTGCTGGTCAACAAAATTCATAATTTTTTTATGAATTCTAGAAATTGAAAATTTTTCCAGTAGCTTTGATAAAATTCCCCGACTTTCCCTCTGTCTTTTGCTAATACTTCATCATTTATAAACTTTTTCTCTCTTTAATTTAAAATACAAAATTTTAATTTTTGTATAATTTTAAAGAAATTTCTGCTGATTTTAAATTAAATTTCCAGGCTTTCAAATTGACTAATAACAGGGAACTTTGGAAAAATTTTAGTATTTTGAAACTTATAATTAGAAATTTTTTCATAAAGGATAACAAATATAATATAACTTTTACTTCAAAGAAAAATCCTAATTGATTGGAATTTTGGACAAATTGTATTAATTTCAAAATAAAGTTTACTTATATTAATACAGAGCTTATAAATAACAAGAATTATATGAAAAAGGTTACAAATATTCTCAAACAATTTCACAACTTATGGATAATAATTCATATTTTCCTGATTAGTGATTACGCACCCAGAAGTATTATTTAATTGCACTTGAAACTTGTAATCTATTTTCTGTTTAAGCTTCCCAGCAAAAATTAAAAAAATTAATTTCAGAAGTAACTTGCATTTTGAATCTATTGTTTTATCATTAAACTATATTTTGAAGAAATTAGGAATTAAAAAATATTTTGTTCATAGTGCTAAAAGTTGTAATTTGTGAAATATCGTGATAAATAATGAATTTGCTCTTTTATTGGTGCCAATTCTTTGACTGGTGCTTTAAAGAAATTAAACTTGTTATATTCGTACCAGTAGTTGTTGCAGTCGTCTTCTTCTGATTGCCATTCGAGTTGTTTGGAATATTTGCCGATCGTGTTTCTGACATTGTCATCATGTCCATAGCGTGAGCTGATTCAACCAAGGTCTCGGTTCTCGTTCTTCGTGCTCGTTTCGTCGGCCTCTCAGCACTATTGATATTGCCGGCTGTACTCGCATTGATCACGGAATTTGTGTCCCTCGTCCCTTCATTATTTTCCTGCTCCTTCCCAAAGTCTACAGAATATAAAATGTTTTTGAAAATTAAATTCCAAGAAAGCAAACCAGAAAACAAATGAATTTCAATGAAATTGAGAAAAGTACTTTACCCAAGTTACGATAATCTAAATCCAATTGACGGGATTTATTCTCTATAAGATCTTGAACTTGTTGAACAATTTGTAATTTTTCATCGCCTATTTCTTGAGCGGCAATTAAAGCCTGCTGCACTCGAAGTAATGCTCTATTCCGAGTTGTGCTATCGACGTCGTTTGTTAGAATTTCCAATTGTTGATCCACTTCTCGAAGAAATTCTAAAAATAAATACAATTTCCGTTAATAAATTTAACTTGTATTGAAAAAAAGTTGTTTCCAACAATTATTTTCCTATTTACAAATGAAAGTATCTATTTTTAAATGAAAATAGAAAACTAACTTTGACAAGTGGCGTCCAATTCTCGAGAGCGAGAAACGTGTCGTTGTAAATCATCTGGTAAATTTTCAACCCAGTCTAGATAATTTTCGATGTACGTTGCCGAGTAAAGAGCGTCAACTACTGCTTGATTTAACATTTTTAAGCCTTTGACCGTTAATGACAATTACATGAAAAAGTCTTGTGTTTTTTTGACACTTTAAAGTTTTTTCTGGAACGTGCACTTAAATTGTTTTCAGTAATAGATAAAATAAGCAACATTTATAATTATTATGAAAATAATTCTTGAAAATGTAAAAATATTTATTTATAAGTAATAATCTTGAACAATACTTAAACGTTTAATAACCAATCGACGCACACTATCAACAAACAGTCAACACATTGAAACTGATGTTCCTTACTTCCCCTCTGTTTTCTTACCACACATCAGCTTGCATCAGGGTTATGTAGTTACGTAAAGGCCTAAGCACAATAGGTTCGCGAAAGTCGTTCGCGAATGCAAAGCATGAGTTAGAAAAGGACGTAAAATATAAAGGCCTTTCTTCAATAGGTTTCCAAAACTCTGCGTTGCGTCGGTTGCTATGGCAACATAATATGTTACAATCAACGCAACGCTGTCATTCGCAGACAAACGCTACGGAAACTTCTACGCGCCACCATGCGGCACTCACTCGTACGGAAGCGCCTACGCGCCACGAGGCAAAGAGAGGAAACCTGTTTCTGCTAAAGGCCAACGCAGAATAGATCTGTAACCGGAACCGCAATCGTAAGCGTAAGGCCAAAGTCCCATGGCAACGTTTTGCGTTGCGTTGTAATGAGAGAGAATGCAGCAAACGTATATTTGCGTCTTTTTCTCTCCCATTACGACGCAACGCAAAACGCTGTCATGGGACTCCACCCTAACCGTAAGAATGAGTTAGAGAAGGATAGGTATATTGTTTATCCTTCTCTAACTCATTCTTACGCTTACGGTTACGATTGCGGTCCGGTTACAGATCTATTCTGCGTTGGCCTTAATGTCGTTTTAGCTTGTGAAACATAGGAACACGTTCGATGGTTCGCTGGTTCGGTGGTTCGATTGTTGCTAAATAAAAAATTCAAAATAAGAAATAAAAATGAACCAAATTAATTTAAATTCACAATTTTAATGTAATAAAATATTTTTTAGGTATTATTTACAACAGATATTGGCGCGCATGATTATCCCCTAGAGTTCATTCCAAATAACTTTTAAAAGGAAGAATTTCATAAGATATAACTTTTCTTCTACAGTTGTTTTGTTTGTTTAAATTACTATATATCAAAATGCATACGTAAACAAAAGATTTAATAAAGGAATGATTAAAAATAAAAATATTTAGTGACATTACTTTTCAAATAAAAGAATTATTTCTAGTAAATTTTGTTAAAGAAAATTATTGTTTAGCATGAAACTTATTTAATAGAAAATTCATATGTTGAATTTTTTATTTAACAGAATTTTCATACAGCACAATCTTCATTTCAATAAAAAATTATCGAATGTAATTTTTGTTTGATTGATTATTCATTAATGGGAATTGTTATTTTAACAAATTTATAATTTACAAAAATGAAATTTTTATAAATTTTTATAAGCCACAATTTATATTGAAAGAAAATTTCGTTTATAAGATTCTTATTTAATTTAAATAGAATTGTTAGCGATTGTTTATTTATTAAAATTGTTACAGACATTATCCAAAATTATTAAAAGTTTTAAATGTCTAATATTTTCTTTGATAAAATTTTTTTATAAAATATTCTTTATTTGTAATAATTTTTGCACACTAAAATTTTCATGTTAAAAAAATTGCGTTTATAAAATTTTTATTCGATAAAAATTTTACTTATCGAAATTTATATTGAATCGATTTTTTATTCAATGGAATTTTTGTTTATGTAAATTTTCATATTACACAATTTACTTTATGTCAAATTTGTTTTAATCGAAATGTATATGTAAAAGAAATACCATTTTACGTGATGTCTATTTTATCAAATTTACATTTGACGTAATTTCTATTTAATTTAATATATATTTGGAAGAATTTTTGTCTTTCACGATTCGCGTAAACTGTAATGTTTTTTTAATCGAATTCTCTTTTATAGTATTTTTTAAGTGACAGAACTTTTGTTCAGCACATGGGAATTTTTCATATGAGTTTCCCATCTATATGTATTTTTTTAAATGTGAATGAAAGTACGAAAGGTACGAAACGTGGTTGGTTGGTCTAGGGGAATTGTGAATTTTTATTGGCTAAACTTCTTAGCCCCCTAGTGTTGTTTTTTACATTTAAAAAAATACATAGATGGGAAACTCATATGAAAAATTTCCATGTGCTGAACAAAAGTTCTGTCACTTAAAAAATAGTGTAAAAGAGAATTCGATTAAAAAAACATTACAGTTTACGCGAATCGTGAAAGACAAAAATTCTTCCAAATATATATTAAATTAAATAGAAATTACATCAAATGTAAATTTGATAAAATAGACATCACGTAAAATGGTATTTCTTTTACATATACATTTCGATTAAAACAAATTTGACATAAAGTAAATTGTGTAATATGAAAATTTACATAAACAAAAATTCCATTGAATAAAAAATCGATTTAATATAAATTTCGATAAGTAAAATTTTTATCGAATAAAAATTTTTATAAACGCAATTTTTTTAACATGAAAATTTTGGTGTTCAAAAATTATTACAAATAAAGAATATTTTATAAACAAATTTTATCAAATAAAATATTGGACAATTAAAACTTTTGATAATTTTGGATAATGTCTGTAACAATTTTAATAAATAAACAATCGCTCACAATTCTATTTAAATTAAATAAGAATCTTATAATCGAAATTTTCTTTCAATATAGATTGTGTCTTATAAAAATTTATACAAATTTCAGTTCTGTAAATTATAAATTTATTAAAATGACAAATTCTATTAATGAATAATCAATCAAACAAAAATTACATTCGATAATTTTTTATTGAAATGAGGATTGTGCTGTATGAAAATTCTGTTAAATAAAAAATTCAACACATGAATTTTCTATTAAATAAATTCCCTGATAAACAATAATTTTATTTAACAAAATTTACTAGAAATAGAATTTTTAATCAAAGAATCTTTAGCTCAATAAAAATTCTAATAATACTTAAAAAATATTTCAAATGCAAATTCTTTTATTTGAAAAGTAATGTCACTTAATATTTTTATTTTTAATCATTCCTTTATTTAATCTTTTGTTTACGTATGCATTTTGATATATAGTAATTTAAACAATCAAAACATCTGTAAAAGAAAAGTTATATCTTATGAAATTCTTCCTTTTAAAAGTTATTTGGAATGAACTCTAGGGGTTAATCATGCGCGCCCAGATATTAATTACGAGGTAAATTAGGTGCTTTAAAAAAATCATATATTTTGAAGTTATAAAATGTTATCACATTTAAGGCCTAATGTTGACCTTTTTCCATTACTTTTTCATAACACATTTTATAACCTCAAAATATATGATTTTTTTTAAAGCACCTAATTTACCTCGTAATTAATATCTCTGTTATAAATAATACCTAAAAAATATTTTATTACATTAAAATTGTCAATTTAAATTAATTTGGTTCATTAGCAGAAACAGGTTTCCTCTCTTTGCCTCGTGGCGCGTAGGCACTTCCGTAGAAAGGCATTAAAGGCCTTTCTCCAATATGTTCCTAAAACTCTGCGTCTGCGTCGGTTGCTATAGCAATACATGCTAAAATCGAGACGCATGCATATCCCCTAATCACCAAGTCGTCGAATGATCAAATAGTCCAATGCCAAGTAATCGAATGGACAAAACGTCGAATGCTAAAAACATCGAATCGGCATTTAGTCGAATGCTTAAAGTCGGTTCTACAATGGGCACGTCAGACGTCCACGTCCGACGTGCCCATTGTAGAACCGACTTAAAACATCGAATTGTCAATACGTCGAATGTTCAAAACGTCGAATTATCAATTCGTCGAATGTTAAAAATATCGAATCGTCAATATCACGAATTTTCAAAACGTCGAATTATCAATTCGTCGAATGTTAAAAACATCGAATTGTCAATACGTCGATTGTTCAAAACGTCGAGTGATAAAAACGTCGAATGCTAAAAACATCGAATCGTCATGTAGTCGAATGCTAAAAATATCGAATCTTCAGTTAATCGAATGCTAAAAACATCGAATTCTCAATTCGTCGAATGTTCAAAACGTCGAATGTTTAAAACGTCGAATGCTTTGAACATCGAACTGTTAATTCGTCGAATGCTCAAAACGTCGAATGATAAAAACGTCGAATGCTAAAAACATCGAATCGTCAAAAGTTCGAAAAAGTTCTTTGTCTTCAGTAAACATTAACTTAAAACAAAGAACTTTTTCGAACTTTTGACGATTCGATGTTTTTAACATTCGACGTTTTTATCATTCGACGAATTAACAGTTCGATGTTCTGAGCATTCGTCGTTTTTATCATTCGACGTTTTGAACATTCGACTACTTTACCATTCTACTACTTGGCAATTCGAACAGATGGCGTTTCGACTACTTTACCATTCTACTACTTGACATTTCGAACAGATGGCGTTTCGACTATTTGAGCATTCGACGATTTGAGAATTCGATGTTTTTAGCATTCGACGTTTTGATCATTCGACGTTTTGAACATTCGACGAATGGAAAATTCGACGATTTAAGCATTCGATGAATTAACAATTCGATGTTTTTAGCATTCGATTAAATGAAGATTCGATGGTTTTATCATTCGACTAAATGACGATTCGATGTTTTTAGCATTCGACATTTTTATCATTCGACGTTTTGAACATTCGACGTATTGACAATTCGATGTTTTTAACATTCGACTCGCAGCTGTTACAGCTGTCAGATGGAATATATAATATAAAATATACACAGTTATGAATGTGTTGGGATGTGCAGAAGACTAGTGCGCCTCGGGGTAGTACGCCCAGTCGTACGTTAAAATCGGGACCATCGGAAATACTCGAGTTGTTCCTCCTGTATATAGTCTTCTTGCTTCTCATGCAAAACTTATGCATGCAGGTTGACATAGTAGCGTTCAAGAGTGAGAGAGATAGAATAATTTCCTATCTCTCTCACTCTTGAACGCTACCATGGCAACCTGTATGCATAAGTTTTGCATGAGATCGTGTGACTGTACCCTTAAGGTACACTCTCACCTCTACTGCCTGCCTGCCTGCGCAGGCAGGCGCCATAAGAGTGAGAGAGAAAAAACATTCAATTTGAATTTTCTGACTCTCTTACTCTTATGTGTTACCATGTCAACCTGCAGGCAGGCAGGCAGGCAGTAGGAGCTGTGCTAGCGCCTTTACAGGAAAAAAACATG